CAGGATTGAAAACTCTCGGGATGTAAAAACCAGACAGACACCTCTGATAGTGGTACAGGGCAAGGTACTGTGTGCTTAGTCAGTACTAAGACAAAGTCCTGGAGTGCCTCTGGGAACTCAAGGGTGGACTCAGTTTTGGGGGAACTTTAACTGAATCCTTTATAACGACAGAACTTCCCAGCGTAGCCAAGAGTGAGAAGTGTCAGCAGAATGGTGAGAGGGGATGCTGACTTAGGTGTGGTATTGCAGAGTATCTCTGCTCCATATAACGTATATTCCTGCAAGTCAGCAGAAGGGAGCACTCTGGGCTGTGCTTCCTTCCCTGTCTCAGTAAGCCCTTCTGCCATGTTTGGAGGTCCAGAACACTGCTGCTCTTTCTCCCCTCTTCCATCAGAAGAAGGATGTGGTGCTAATTTGTCCATAGGAAACATAGGACCCACACTAATGGAAGCCTCTGATGGCACACCCTTCCCATAGATAGAGGTCTAGGAAACATGAGCTAAAAAAGGAGCTGGAAAATGCTGCTTCCTCCTACAGGCAATCTTCCACACTGAGATACTTTTTTATGTACCTGTCATGTTTTGTGGCAGACTTCAAACTGAAGAGTCAGGCTATTTCTAAGCTGTGCTCCATTGTGGGGGTGGTTGTACTGAAACAATATAAAAGAAAAATAACTGGGTTCTCTACCCTGCTGGGTCCTCAAGGAAGTGAGAAGTTTGCATATAGTGGAGTTTCTGAAGAATATAAATACTCCTCTAATAAAAAACTAATCCAGAAGAGATGGGGTGCTTTTGGGTCCACAGCACATACAAGCACACATCTTACTTGAAGGACACATCCCATGCTATTGTTAGGTACAAATCCATTAAAGCAGTTTATATGGTGCATTGTTGAAGAAGGGGAGTGTCAGCTGGAAAATGCTGATATTTAAGGCACTATCCATTAATTTTTTTTTATTACAGTGTATGTTATTGCTGTATGTAGGATATTGGACATGATTATTGGCTTTTTCATTATTCCTTCCAGGGATTCACATCAAACTTCTCTGTAGATTTTCCCGCACAATGGTATCTTAGAGAACACTAACTTTGAGCCTGAATCAAGGGAGCAACTGTTGTAGCAGGTGACTACTGGAACTTTGTAGCAGTGACTTAGTTCGGCCAAATGGCCCTTAACTTTTACCAGAGCCCTTTCTCGATGTCCATGAGGTTGAGCACACTGCTTGCAAAGCTCTGTACAGAATCGCCTGTTAAAGCTGTTACAATAAATCACTTGCTTCAAAAATAGACCTTGTATTTAGAGAAGTCATGGAGCCAAGTTACTCCAAGCACACATGTTCCCTCAGTGTATATTTCTGCAGCTCTGTTAATATTTAATTTTAACTGTATGCTACACAGAAGTTATTTTTGCAGGGGAAAAAAAAAAAAAAAAAAAAAAAAAAAAAAAAAAAGCAAAACAGCTATTGCATTACTAAGTCTGTTTCTAGCTGGCACAATAAAAGATAGAGGGGTTACCTTACTAGTGCTACAGAGCTTCATAGCTTTGACTTTAGGTGTGCAAAATTGGAGGTTTCTTCCTGGATATATCACTTTGCAAAGTGATTAGAGATGTTGTAAGACTGATATACATTCTGCTGTTAAAGATTTAAAATACAAAATATGTGTACAAGTCTAGACTTCTTGTGCTTCACATGTCTAGTAGACAATGAATCCAAAGTTATGACAGCTGGAAGTTTAATTCAGAGTTTGGCAAAAATAGTCATCTCTTGGGAAAGCTATAAAGCCCATCACAGTATTTTTACAATTAGATGTTTGTTATTTCTAAACATAAAAACACTATTTTAAATCATAAAATACAATTTAAAACTATTTCCTTACCTCAAAATACACTGGCCCAAAACTGTAATGCAACATAACATAAAACAATATCAACACGAAGCCATTTTTAAAAGAAATAATATGGGACAGAGAAATAAATGGTTTTTACTCTATCACCATAAAGCACTGTAGCCACCCTAAGCTTGTGGCTGCATTGGCTGAGGAATCATGAACAGACATTTCCAGTCCTTTTCACACCCTTTTGAATATGCAAGCTTGAATTATAACAGGCCATTTCAAAGATAGAACGAGCCATAACATTCTTAATTCACCTAAAATTGATCTTTTTTATAAAAAAGTGGTATTTTCAAAGCCATGTTTTGGACTGCTGTTACTTTGGGTGAGCAGCTGTAAGACCAGAGAGAGGTTGGAATGAAAGCTACCATGTGCTGTTTCACAACACCTCACTTTCTGAATTGCAGTACCCTTCCTATTAAAGACCCTCACATAGACAGTGCCTCCCCGGTCTATCAGGCTGTGCTTAAAACTCAGAACAAGCCTGAGGATGAATCTGAAGACTGGAGCCGCCGCTCTGCCAACCTGCAGTCTCGGTCTTTCCGCATCCTTGCCCAGATGACTGGAACGGAGTACAGTAAGTTGAATAACAGAATAACCTCCTTATCCTGATTTTAGATTCATGTCTTTCTTCTCTTATCCCAGTATTAGCAAATGATGCTTACGGAAGACTCATGTCCAGCTTGTAGTAATTGTTAGTGAGGACTAAGATCAAATAACTCTGGATGTAACTTGAGAGAACAAGAAAATCAAAGTGTTTAAGCTCACCTTATGCTTTATGAAGAAAATTATTTGAAAGTATGAGACTAATACAGGAAAAGAGCATTTGGGATCCCATTGTGCTTACAAATGAAACCTCTGCAGTGTAATCTTCCATTTTTCAGCAGCTTAGACATACAAAACTGTCCCCTTCCTTAGAAAAAAAGATAAACAACTTATGTGGCCTGTCTTTTATAGAAGTGACTTCTGGGGGTCAAAAAAAAAAATAAAAAATCCTGAATCACCATTTGTATTGAACCTATGATTCTAGCAGCCCTGTTATCTGAAGCTAGATCTGCTATGACTGTCATGGGAGCTAGAACTTTGTTACCTGTTGTCTGTGGAAATGTTTTTCTGACCACCTTGTACTAACTGCAGAGTTTGTTTCTGAGCTAAACAGAAGGAAGTTTAGGGCCTCTTCCACATCAGGGGGAAATAGTTTTTCTTCCTCATGTGAATGGGTGTTGCCTCTCAAGCTTTCCTAGGAAACAGCAGGCCCTCATTGTAGAATCATTGCCTACAGCTGGATAAAACATGGATAACAAATGAATGAGAAAGTAGTTGTAGTAGTTTCTTTCCTCTTAACATCCTTTTTCCTAGCTGTAGGATACTGCTCCTCTTTATGCTGTTCTTACATTGTCAACTACTGCGAAGTCAGCACAAATGCACCTTTAGATAGGGTTTTGATCCATTTCTAAAGAACTTATGATTTTGTCATAAAGTCAATTCCTTTCCTTCTTTCTTAAGTAAAACATTTTTTGTCTGCAGTGCAAGATCCGGATGAAGAAGCCCTGAGGAGGTCAAGGTAGGCAACTCTCTGTGAAAAATATGGCTTTCTCCTTACTGATAATTAATGTTTTAAAGCAGCATTAATATGAAAATACATTATTTTACTTTTGTCTTACAATATTTTAATGCATTTACCTAAAGATCACTAAAATTAAAATGCTACCAGCAAGAGGCATTTGAAAGAAAAGGATAACAAATTAGCATGGTTTTAAGAAAGATAGTGCAACATTTCTGAAGTGTGTGTTCAAATCTGAAAGCTCTCTGCATATGCAACTTCTATGAACTTTCCTGGGTGTGTGGATGCAATGACTTCCTAAGGCCAAAACCTGTGTAACTACTTAGTTGTGTAACTGGATAAAAATATATATTGTATGATAGCATTGAAATTTGTGAGCAATTTATTTGGATTACCATATGATTTATATTTGATTCTTCTGAAATGATACAGTAAAGGAGTTGTGTCCATCCATATCTATAATAATTTGCCTATTTTTGTTTGGAATAAATACAACCCAAATTTGTTGAATATGGAAGCACAGGACTGCTTTTGCTAGTGGTTAAATGTATTTTTTTCATACAGTCGACTAAAACCACTGAAAAGCGGATATGTTCAGAGACATAATAAGGAATTAAAAACTATCACCAACTTAAGGTGTCTTGCAGAGCCAGGAAATAGATTTATTAGCGATTCTTACATTGAGCTTAAAAACTGCAGTTGAATCAGAGCAGCCTGCATGCAAGCCTGATTTTCTGTTTGCATATTTCAAATCCTTATATCACATTAGCTACTTTAAACTCCTGGCTGTGTTTGAGATGTTTCTAATACTCAATGCACTTTCTCTTTGCTTTCTTCTTGTTGTTGTTTCTTTTTCCCCCCCTACTGCCTTGTGGCTTTCATAAAGGTCTGAGCTTTTGACCACAGTGCAAGTTACAGATGTTGAATCAGTGAGAAAGTTGTCTGTTATCTTCCCTGTGAAAATACAAGTATACTTTCAGCTTATGTTTGCTATAAGCCTTCCATTGCAGTTCACTGAAGTTCATGGCTAGATGCCTCAACACTGGGCTTCACATTACATCCCTCAGGGATTGAAATCTTCCCTCAAATGTGGTAGCCTAATTCTTATTAAATGCATTGTGCATTATCTGCTTTGATGAAATAGAACATATCCAAATCCTTTTTGTGATGGGATTTAAAGTGTTGTGCTGAACTTAGTCCCCCATACACATCTGAGAGTAATATGTTGGTTTTTTTAAGCAATAATCTTTGCAGCTGTAGGCTGTGGCCTTGGAAAATACTAGGTATTAGTAACTAAACGTTGTATCAGATATGTTGAATATAATTCTCTAGTAACACATCAGCATGTGTAAATTGCACTTTCCCATCAGTGTAACTTAAAGTAGGTGACGGTACCCGCTGTGTTTTGCATGTTTTTGTAGTTTTGAGGTATTCCTGCGTTATTCTTTTTTTCACAAGGACAGGTTCATGAGTGTATTTAGGCACAGATGTATTACCCAAAGAGGTTTAAGGGCATTCACTGGTAGAGGCAAAAATATACCCTGAGTAGTTACATGGGTATAGTGCAATTGGCTTGAGCTTTGATGCAAGGAATGAAGCGGGGTCTTCTTCCTACCCAACTGATATTATTTGCCCCATTCTTGTGGCACGATACCTGCCTCAAATGTTGCACATGTTCCACTGCAGATTTAGTAGCAGTAGCCCTGCCTAGACATGCATCCATCATACAGTGATTTTGAGGCCTATTGGCCCGCTTCTGTATAATGTTTTGGCAAGGCCCCTGCCACTTTCCAGTTTTTAAGGAACTGGATGGAAGATGGATGGAAGAACTTATGCCAGATGCACAGAATCCATACTCCACTCTTCCAGCATAATAATGGAGTAGAAACTCCTCTTCACTGTCTGCTCTAGACAGCCTGTACATCACATCTTTCTCCATACCCATAATTTGGGATCACCTGGAAGGCTTGCTGGGCTCCTGAAAGCAAAAGGTTTCCATGGAACTGTGGAACCTGAGTTTTGCTATATTCAGTGTCTTATTAATCCCATGTTGTGCTGGCATTCTGGAAAAAGCCATCATGTTTCAAATTTTAAAATGCCAGAGATTTCACAGTGTAGGGAATTTTGGTCTCAGAGCATGCTGTGAGCAATATTGTCTTTTTTGTTGGCTCTTCAGTGTAGTCTGCAAGAACTGCATGAAATGGCGGGGGGGGGGGTATGGAATGAAAAAAGCCCCAAACAGCTTATTTTGGGAAAATCTGTTTTACATACAAATAGTCACTTCTAGTTTGCTGCTTCTAACTTCGTGACGTATGCTCTGAACAGAACCCATAAAGCTTGGGAGTTTGCAGGTGGAAGAATATTCCTTTCAGTTAATATTAATATTAATACATGCATCGTGTGACTGTTCTTTGCTCATGCCACTGCTATTTTGAAGGCACACATAAGATGATAACTTGCTATGAAAATTCTGCTGCTGTTATGACAACTGTTACAGAATATTTTCTGGAAAGATGGGATCCATTTCAAGCCAAACAAATGTTTCTGAACACCTTTGCCTGGAATGGAGTGGTATATCTTTAAAGCACTGTGGGAATTCCTAGATTTCATGTAAGACCCACTGTGGCTAGTATGCTCCAATGTACCTTGAAAAAATGCCACCATGAAGTTTCAGCATTTCTGCTAGGAATACTTCATATTTTTAATTACTTAAAAGCATAAAAAACAGTTTGAGCAGTATTACATCAAGACTCCTATAGGACTGCTACCTGCAGGACAGAAGATTTAGTAATATCAGTGAAATTACTTTGTTGGCATTTACTCTGTTTATTGTTTTGTGCTTGGTTCAGCCTGAGGAGTAAAACCAGTCCAGTCTCTTCATTTCTGTTTGGCTGGTTTCACTCAAGTTTTGCTGCATTAACAGAGTTGCCTTCCGTTTTAGTTGTAAATACTGAGGGGAGAATTATCCTGTTTATAATCAAATATTTTTTTAAAATAACAAGAACATTTTCCATTATTTTTGATAGACTTCTTGACTCTGCTCTCCTCCCAATCCCTTTTTATTTACAAAACCTGAATTTAAACTATAGAGCATCTATAGATTAAGATTAAATCCTGAGGCGTGTGCTGAACATTGCTTAGCACCCCAGTCTGCAATCAAAGGTAGCTAGGGGTGTTTGCAGGAGGTAGTAAATACTTCTCAGGACTGTGCTTTGAAAATCCTGTGATATTCTGCTTTTGGACAAAAATGACCAGAAATATTCATGCAAATGTCAACACTTGCACTCATGCTGTGAAAAGCTATAGAAAAGTACTGCTGAAACCAGTGGCTGGTGGTTCTTAGAGGAAGGACAGCAGGAGACATATAGATATATATAGATATAGATATGCTGACCTACATATTACAGTATGGAAAATATATGCATTAATTTTGGTCTTGTACAGATTTAACTTTCACTGACTGCTCCGTGGGGTGGAGGGAAGGAAAAGCTGAAGGAACCTGCTGGCAGGAAAACAATGGGATTACATTGCATTTCTAGCAAAAGCAGCCCTGTAATATCAAGCAGAAGTCAAAGAATATAAGCTATATCATTACTTCTCAGAATTTAGTAACTACAAATCCTTTCATACGTGGTCCATAAAGAATCACCCAGCCCTCTTTGTGCTGATTTGAAAGCTGAGAGAAAAACATCCAAATAAATTGCCATTGCCCTAGTTATATAGCAAGAGAGTGGTAGCCATGGTCCCTAACCCCTTTCTTTCTCCCTCCTTTCTTTCTTCTCTGTGTGTCTCTCTGTCTCTCTCTTTCTGTCTGTCTGTCTCTCTCTCTCTCTCTCTCTCTCTCTTTCTTCATGCCACAGGGAAAGATTTGAAACGGAACGTAACAGCCCACGCTTTGCCAAATTGCGCAACTGGCATCACGGCCTGTCCGCGCAAATCCTTAATGTTAAAAGTTAAAAGCCCACATTTAGCAGACAAATACGTGAGGCAGAGAATTACAGTAAGAAAATTAATTGCTGCCCAGAGTTAGAGCATAAGAGTGTCGTGTCATACACACTGCAAAGATTTACTGCTAGAGCCTTTCTCTGTCTTCAGTAGACTTCTGTTGTTAGCCCGGTTGCCATTCATTGTCACCAACAGTAAAAATAAGGATACAGCCCATTTCATGGTCTTCATTATAAAGTAGATTAGCTTTTGTCCTTTACTACATCAAATGTAACTTCAGTATACAGCGCAATCACTGTTGTGCTCTCTTGACTTAATTCTATGAGAAAATGAGAAGGAAGTTATTGATGGAATTTTTTTAGGAGGAAGAGGAATGAGACTTTTACTAAGTCTTCACTGCTGTAAAGATAACTAGGAGAAAGAAAGATTGAAAGGAAAACTGGTTGAGCCTGCCCTAGGCTTTGCTAAATGTACAACATATTTAGTTTGCATAGTTGAATGATGCTGTTTGAAATAAGATATTAGTAATGTAAAGTTATATTTCTTCCATATATTACACGGATAGAAGTAATTTGCTAAAATCATTACTGTATGCTTTTTGTTGGAAACCTGAATTTGTCATTATATGAAAACCAGAGATAGCTGTGATTGCACAGGATCTGTGAGGAAATGACATTTTGCTAGAGGTGACTTTGGATTGAGAATAATACTTAGTACTACTGGTACACTGAAGTTTTTTAAAGCATCTTTTAAGTTTTAAGGAATATATAAGTATTAAGGAATATGTTGCCCATTCTGTTGCTTTTGCTTTGACCCACATTTTTCTGTATATAGCAGCATGCTTTATCTGAAATAAAAGGTTTTAAAACTAAAATAACTATGTGCCTGTTTTACACAGTACTTTATTCTGGTTTAAAACAATTCCTTCAACTGATTATTAAAAGGAGAACGTTTCTTTCCACAATCGAAAATTTGACCAAAAAGCTTTCCCCTACTACCTGCAATGCTTACTGATCTTTAGGTTACCTGACAAAGCAGTTGAAAGAACAACAGAAATGAAATAGTATTGTATTTGGTATGAATGAAAACAAAGCATAATTAATAGATGTTAGATGACAACATAGTGATAATATCATTCAACACTGCTATTTGAATAATACGCCTTCTCTGGCAATAATTATTAATTTGTGCCCATGGCAAAGGCAGTTGAGATGCTGGTGCTTAGAATGGGATCTTCTTCTTTCAACATTACAACAGTGCTTTGCTTTTAAGCTGTATCAGCCAAGATATGGCAAACCTATACCAAAGGCCCCAAATATTTTTATTTTCTGTTTGAAGTGACGAGCTCCTTTTTTAGTTTACGTTCTGGTGATTAAATGATACAAAAAATGCAACTCGGTTAAACGGTTTGTGGTTTCCATAGAAACACTTGATGTTGGCCTTCAACAACCTACATTACCCATCCTTAGCACTGATTGAAGGAAAAGGTTCTGGTAATAAAACACTGGACTCTGCAATGGAAGGTTGACTCTGTTGCAGCCCTGTCTTCAGCCCTCTGCATATTTTTTTTTCATTAACTTCTATTAACTGCAAATTAGGTACCTTCATCTGGTAGCAGGAATTCTGATCAAAGAGATTAGTGCATGAGATTAGATTGAAACTCTCAAACTTTTTGCTGCTTCCAAACACTTGGAATTTTTATCAGCAGTTCATACAAGAACAAAGTTCATTCAAACTCCCATTGTTTTTCTGTGTTATAGAAGGAAGGAAAAGTTCCATTCATGAAGGATTTTTCATTAATCAACCAAACACTGGAGTTGTAAAGGAAAAAAAATATCTATCTATTGTACTTAAAAAGAAAAAGTATTTTTTTACTATTATTTAAGAGTACATGAACACTAGATAATTTTAAAATGCATTTCACTTAGATAAGTACCACAGCAATTCAGTAAGCATACCATTTAATATACAACAGTACTATATCTTTTCCTTACGGGAACACAAACATGCTAATCGTACCATCTTATTAGTGCCTTTGGAAATTCAGCATAACTGCATAAAATAGGAGCAGCATTTTAACTTTTCCTGAATGTTGCTTAGATCAAACTTTGGTTCAGAGTGGGTGGATTTTATTTTTTTTATGGGAAATTGTGATAAAATTTAAAATATCCATAGGCAATTAATTTTTCTACATAAATATCAAATTTACCTAATTTTAAAAAATCTTCCAGTTCTGATTTTCAACCAAATTAAATGGTTTTCTGAATAAGCAGCAATACAGTGTTTTCACTTAAATAGGAATTGTGTATCTTTAATGTTTTATGAACATAATATAGACACAGTTTGTTTCAAATGGTCTTTATGCATGTACTATAATGAGAGAGAATGGCTAGATTATATCTCAATGTTTACACTTGATGTTATTTTAAAAGGTATTTTTTAATAATCAGAAAAGCATAGTTTGATCAGATATGGAAGTAATGCAGATGTAATTAAGGAACCCATTCCCCTTAGCTCTCTTTCAGTGGCTTTAATGATAAAATTTTAGTGCATATAAACCTTATAGTCAGAGAAATAGTTATAACTTTTTTCCTGGAGGATACAAAACAGAATCTAAAATCTCTCCAACTTTGTGGAATTTCAATTCTTTGTGTAGTTACAGGTGAAAAAGTAATAGAAAAATTTTCAATAGTTGGTAACTTTGGGAACTTTTGCAATAATAAAGACCTTTTGTGAAAGCATTGTCATTAATCCCTAAAGCAAGACTGTTTACTACAGCATATTTCTACTGCTTATTCCAGTCCCTCCCAAATAATCTCTTAAGTGATGGGCTTTGTTGATTAAATGGTCAAATTCCTCAATCCAGTTTCTTGGTTATATTTAGACTAATAATACCTTAACTCTTACTCCTCAAAAATCTGCCTTTATGTTGTCATGGTGATCCTCAAGACCAGAAAATGAATGTTATAGATCTTTCTTTATGTAACTATTAAGAGGCTTTGTTTTTCCCTCCTGAGCAGGAGACAGACTTTTTAAGATGGAGAAATTTGGCTAGATTTGTCATTCTGTTACATGTCCTTGCTAGAGGCTGTAACAGACTTAGTCCTGATAAGAAATTAACAACTTTAAGAAACCACTGGCAAAAGGTTGTCTACCTTATTTTTAATATATCCAGGCTTATTTCACTGTAAGGTGCTTCTAATGGACCAACTCCATCTTACAGTGTTTCTTGACCATTTGCAGGTCTGCTGTTTAGCATAGAAAATTTAGTCTCTATTAATGACAGGCTTAAAATAGGCTCTTCATTGAAGACTTGATGAGTCATGTCATTTTTTGATATAGCACTGATGATAGGCAGGTGTATCTGTTCCACACTGAATATATTTTGAACAATGACTGTTCTGCTGAGCAGAGGACAATGGTTGGTAAAAATACTGTCTTCTAAGTAGCCTCCATGCCAAAAATAGAAAAAAACCCTCAGGACGTGGACATTGATATTAACCCCCTGCCCCTCACAACACTGCCAGTAAAGCATAGTGTTAAAAGCACTTAATGAAGATACAGCAAAGCTGATGCCAGTAGGAAATCAAAACCAAAAGGCCTTCCAGGTAAATCTGCTTGTCTGGTTATGACACAGGGAAATGCACATTTTCTGCTGTGGTATAAGCCCATATGATCTAAACTAACCTGTTCCCTCAATACTGCTGCCTTGCCTTCTACTCAAATGGTCATCTCCTCACCTCCTACAGCGCTTCGTTTGCAGCAGGATACTGACTGCATGTGGTGTGTGCTGCTGGGGTGTGGCTAGAGTGTGACTTCAGGAAAGCAGGGACTAGAACTTGACTTCCTTTCCTGCATGAAAAGTTTATGAAAGGAGAAAGGTTCTTTGGTTGCTTCCCTTGCCTCCCTCTTTCCACACCTGCCTGCATGGGAAGGAGAGTAATCTTTTGCTATTTAATAAATAGAGAGGTCACTTTCTCTTAGTTGTGGTTTCTCTCTCATTATGCATAAATGTGTGGAGTATTTCTTCAGTGGCAAAGAATAAGTATTTCAGGGACTACTTTATCACCCTGCAGCCTTCTCCAGGGCAGAAGAGGCATTCATCATTTTTTTACTTGTGCACTTAGGTTCCCACAGGGACTAGGTTGATTTTATGGCTTCTTTAGTGGTGTTTACCATGAGTTTCAGTGACTGAGACTATTGTTACATGTATCAGAAAATGCATGGATACTTGCACAAGCTTTAGTTGGCAAAGTTAAGAAGGTAGAATTTTGGTTTGGTACATGGCAGTACCCAATAATTACTTTCTTTAATCTGTTAGACTTTAATGAAGAGCTTTCTTCAATATACATGAAAATGAATTGACTAAAATTTGCTGACAAGCACAATAACATTCTTTGTTCTTCTGCTCCTTATCAAAGCCATCTGACAACACTAAGACGAGCTAAGGCACCTTGATCCCCTTCCTTTGCTAGCCAGAATTTCCAATTATTAGCATTTCTTACCTGTACAGTTGCCAAAAGCTGCATAACTATATGCTAATGAGATTACCAAAATCCTTTTGAAAGATATTCCTTATTTTTCCATAACAGCCCATGAAATAAAGCAGACTTCTATAGATAGCTTTCTCGTTTAAGGAGTATAACTGCAATAAGAGTTATAAACACATCAGTTGAATATATTCTGATCCCCACTTACATTTTAGTACCTAAAAAGTGACAAAAAATACAGGAATAGTGAAATAACTTGATTGTATCTATGAAATTATGAATGAAACCAGAGGGGAAAATTGACCAAATATCATGTCTTTTTTCTCCAAAATACTCCTGGAAGTTCTGTGGGAAAAATTAATCATAAAATTCTTGTTTTCAAGCCAGTTCTCTCTAGAACCAATTGGTGAAAGATGGCAACCATAAGGTATGGTGTATCTACTTGAATGTAGTTACTTAAAGTTGAAAGAATGAGGCCCCCAAAAGAAATCAGCAAATACCACAAAGGTTTCCTCAAAACAG